ATATTAGAGCACAAATCACAAAATTAACTAAAAAAAAGGAGTTTGTTTAGTCCAAAACTTATGCAGGGGTTGTTCTTACTTCTTGGTCTCAGACTATATATCATCTGAAGTTTGTAGCAGGCTGTCGTTTTAGCTTTCATTGATTGTCTCATGTTATTGGGATATGTGAATTAAAAAAAATTAAGGCCTGCCGACAATCGGTAATCTGGTAGCAATTATTATTGCTCTTTTAGCGCCCTTACATAGGGACTTTTGATGATAGAATGACATTTTTATTATTAAATAATTCAACGTCATTCTAATTAATGTCCAAGACTCTGAAGTTGATCCTTTTAGCTCATTGTTATCATCTCGACACAAAGATTATTCTTTAAATTATTATTGTTTCTTATTTTCATGTCGTTTTCTGTCATTGTCGTTGATTTACTTCATGTTATTTTCTGTGCTCATGTTGTTTTTCTATTTTATGTCATTTTTTAGCATGTTGTCGTTTTACGATTCATACTATTTTTCACTTTAAAATTGTTCCTGGTTAATATCTTTCTTTATTTTAGTCGTTTTATCTATGGTGTTGTCGTTTCGATTAAATTCTCTTTTCCATCATATTTTACTGTATTTTTCTATGTTGATGTTATTTTCACTTGGTTATCGTTTTACACCTAATATGTGTGTGTGTTTTCTCTCACATATAGAAAAACAAATTGGTCTTTGTTTTTGTTTTGTGTTTTGTGTTTTTTTTTCTCCCTTATAATTTCTTTATTTCCGTTAACGATGTTCTTTCCATTTCTACACTGTTTATTCTTTTATTTAATGACGTTGTTTTTCCTTAGGTAGAGCTTTCATATGAGTTGTCTTATATTATGTTGATGTCGTTTATATATGGTTGTCGTTTTGCTTAATATCTTGTCTTTGGTGTTTATTTCTATGTATCCACGTTTGTCGGTTTTCTTTTTTAGAATAAAAGCATCGGAATTCCTTTGATGGAAGGCTCATGAGTCATAAGGAATACATCCAACGGTCGGGAATGATAGATGTAAACACCTTTATTTATTTGCTGCGATTAGTGATTGAAATAAATTGAAGAAAAAAAAATGTCTACATTGATCTTTGCACAAGTCTACATGTCGAAAGAAAAACAAAAAGCAGAAAAGGTTGATACAATTTACAAGTATAACACGCATAACATGCTCTTAAGACATTTTTTTCAAACCTTCAATAGTTGAGCATCATATATGCTAGGCGCTAGGAAAGACAGATTGACCCACATAAACCTAATCATGACATTTTTTATTGAATAAACCCAAAAAAAAAACTAATCATGATTTGTTTATTTGAATATATTCCAAATCCCCAATATTAATACATAGTTGAAGAATAACAAAAATACGCCATCATTATTTAAATAATATCCACATATTAAAATTCAGTCAACGCACCCATACTCATTAAACAATATCCACATATTAAAATTCAGTCGACTCGATTGACTCATGAACGTTCTTAGTAGAAATTAACAAAGGAATTGTGTTTATACATGTGTAGCCAACGCATGGTTGTGAGTAGGATTTAATACCGTGTAACAACCCATATTCTTATAGTTCTATCAACAGTAACCTTAAGGTCAATTTGCATTCTATTTTGGGGACAGATTGACAACCAATGGATCCATTTTTTAGGATACTAATTAAGGCTTCGCTCAGTTCATGGATTTGAATTTTCAATTCAAGTTGAGATGTGATTTTATGTGAGAGCGTTTCACTGTAGCAGAAAAATTAGATGTGATTTTTTATGAGAACTTTTAACTGCAGTAAAATTGAAATTGAAAACTTGAATTTATGAAATGAAAGAGACCTAAACCACGTTTGTTGTCGAAATTCCTTCATCAGGAAAGTTCTAATAGATATTTATTATTATTGTAATTGTGTTGGAGGCAAAGTAGTAGTTTCAAGTTTAAAAATAATTGTTTTATTTTAGTGACATGAGTAGTGTTTGAAGGGAAAAAAAGGTAGTATGGAAGAAGTAGAACGTAATATCCACGAGAGCATCTGTAGGGGAAGTTTTTTTAGCTGAGACACCCGTGGGTGAAATTTGCAATCATTTTGTAGTAATTGTATAGTACAACTCACCAATAGATAAGTTCATTGTCGTTTTTAATTTGTGTTGAACGACTATCATCTTCTTTTGTATATCATACATTCACAAAATTAACTAAAAAAAAAAAAAGAAGTTTGTATAGTCCAAAGTTTGTAGCACTATATGTCGTCCGAAGTTTGTAGCAGGTTGTCGTTTTAACTTTTATTGATTGTCTCATATTGTGGGGATATGTGAATTAAAAAAAAAAAAAAATTAAGGCCTGCCGACAACCGGTAACAGTCTGGTAGCAATAATCATTGCCCTTTTAGCGCCCTTACATGCCCTCAATGAATTTTGATGGTAGAATGACATTTTTATTATTAAATAATTCCATGTCATTCTAATTAATGTCTAAGACGCTCAAGTTGACCCTTTTAGCTCACTGTTATTGTCTCGATACAAAGATTATTTTCTAAATTATTGTCGTTTCTTATTTTCATGTGGTTTACGTCAAATAAAATTGATAATAGATTTAACTGAAAAGTAGAGAAATGTTAATAGTTTATTTTTTCAATTTTACCAGAAAAATCCCTTTAAATTATTGATTCTAATCTGGGTGAAATTAGAATTGTATTCTTGAACAAAGGTAATGTTATGCATTTATTAGAGAAAGGAAATGGAAGATAAAAACTGGCCGTGTAGCATTAGTATTCTATTTTGACGAATCATTTATACATTTCACTTTGACACCCATAAATTAAGTTATTGAACAGGAATTCATAATCTCAGATTCACCTTCAATAGTAAGTATTTATTATTATTATTTTTTTTTTAACCAATGGTAAGTGATTCACCGTGGATAGTAAGCATTTTTTTTTTTAAATCAATGGTGGTAACTGAAAAATGATATTCAACATAGAAAAAGATTATGCCCGTGAAACTAAAACTCGACTTCTTAGGAGTAAATAAGTTGAGACAAATAGTACTTTAACTTTGACGAAACTTACAAAATTTTGCCACATTTATTTTCATAATAATCATGATTAAGGTTTTTTTTTTTTTTAATTCCTTTTAGTGGTGTGTGTTGTTTGAGGTGATTTTTAGTCCCAACTGGATCTTAAACAAGTTATACTGTAGTAGCTAACAGCCTAATATTTCACTCCCATTATAACAGAAACCATGAAAAGAACTCGTTTTTCTTAAGAATTCACTTAAAACTTATGGATTAGTCAGTGTTGTAATCATGCTGTGAAACATATATTGCGTGAAGTATTCTTTAGGCGTGTTTTCGTTTCTCTCCTAGGTGCAATTTAGTCACCCACTTCTTTCTTGCAGGGCATTACACGAGAAAGACAAGAGGCCAAAGGGGGGCTTAACCCGGAATCAATTTTTTCTCGTTGCCTTTATTTGTAGCTTTGCTTACTATGTCCTTCCAGGCTACCTGTTCTCAAGGCTAACGTCCCTATCTTGGATTTGCTGGATATTCCCCGCTTCAATCTTGGCCAATCAGCTAGGTTCAGGACTTCGTGGTCTCGGTGTTGGCGCGTTTGGATTTGATTGGTCCAGCATATCCTCTTACCTCGACAGCCCACTTGCCAGTCCATGGTTTGCCACTGCAAACGTGGCCGTTGGGTTTGCCCTTATGCTCTATGTCATTGTCCCTGCTGCTTATTGGCTCAATCTCTACAAGGCCAAAACGTTTCCCATTTTCTCAGATGGCCTTTTCACGTCTAATGGACAAAACTACAATGTCACAGCAATAACAGACTCAAAATTCCACCTCGATTTGGACGCGTATGAACGCCAGGGCCCTCTCCATTTGAGCACATTATTTGCTATTGCATATGGTTTGAATTTTGCCTGCCTTACTGCCACTATTGTTCACGTTATCCTCTTCAATGGGAGGTAAGCTTGCCACTTTTATTAACTTTGAATGAATGCTTTCTTCTGATTCTTTATACTGCTTAAACTGTCAAGATCAGTAAATACATTGATGAGGAATCGCCATATCAATACCTGCAAAATAATAGCAAAGCTCCATCTTATTGAACTATTTGTTAAACCCATAAACTTGAAAGGTAAAAGTAATATAAACATGAAGTGTTTAGTAACTTTCAATCTTTAACCAAGTCATTCTGTCTGGAGCGCTTATACTTTCTTTATCCGTTTTTAGTTGTAAATAAAGCTGCCTCTTCTTTTTACTTTAGCTGAATAAAGAGCAGGTTGAACTTGCTTGAACATTAAAGTGGGTTATACTGAGTGGGACTAATTTTTGGAAGCAGACAAATGCGAGAGCTAACCAAGTCAGCATTCCAAGAGAAAAAGATGGATGTGCATACAAGACTCATGAGAAATTATGAACAAGTTCCTCAATGGTGGTTCATGTCTATCCTTTTTGTTAACATAGTAGCGACCATATTTACATGCCAGTATTACAATGGCCAACTGCAATTGCCATGGTGGGGCATTTTGCTGGCATGTGGTTTAGCCATGTTTTTCACTCTTCCTGTTGGCGTCATCAAAGCCACAACTAATCAGGTGCAAGTCCACTCATCTTGCCAAAGTTATGCTTTCAATCTCTAACAAAAGTTGGATTTATTTCACCTTTGGTGCCTTATGAGAGTAATACTTTGTATCGGTTCTTGCAGACGCCAGGCTTGAATGTAATCACAGAGTATATCATTGGATATATATACCCGGGATATCCCGTTGCTAACATGTGCTTCAAGGTTTATGGCTACATAAGTATGAAGCAGGGGATTGCATTTTTGCAAGACTTCAAGCTCGGCCATTACATGAAGATTCCTCCCAGATCAATGTTCATGGCACAGGTTTCAACATCCCATTTTGCTTCCCAAAATGAAGCACAAATAACCACTTAATAATAAGTTTTCTAACCACTTTAAGAATGTTCTTCTTATCAGGTAGTGGGTACTATCATATCAGCATTTGGGCATTTAGGGACAGCGTGGTGGCTTATGGACACAATCCCAGACATATGCGACAGGGCGTCGCTTCCAGCAGATAGCCCCTGGACGTGTCCCGGTGACCATGTCTTCTACGACGCATCCGTCATCTGGGGTCTGGTCGGGCCTCGCAGAATCTTTGGAGATCTTGGGTATTACTCTTCCATCAACTGGTTTTTCTTGGTTGGTGCAATAGCTCCCGTGCTAGTTTGGCTTGCACACAAGGCCTTCCCTAACAAGCATTGGATTGGACTCGTCAACATGCCCGTGATCTTTGGGGCTATAAGCAACATGCCCCCAGCCACTGCAGTAAACTACACCAGTTGGGTTCTTATCGGATTTGCCTCCGGTTTTGTTGCTTACAGGTACCACCGCGGCTGGTGGAGTCGCCACAACTATGTGCTGTCCGGCGCACTTGATGCTGGATTAGCCTTCATGGGGGTGTTGCTTTACTTGTGTTTGGGAATGGAACATGTAGGCCTCAAATGGTGGGGAAATGACTCGGAGGGTTGTCCCTTGGCTTCTTGCCCAACCCAACAAGGGGTTGTGGTTAAAGGATGCCCACTTGTATGAACAATTAGGGAATTGATATGTTTCAATTTGTTGTATTTATCTACGTTATTCTTCCACTGTAAACAGCTGTATATAGTTCATGCATGGTATAATTTGAAATATATAAACGACAATCATAATAGCCCTTTCCTTGGTCCTTGAGTTTGGCCTGGAGGAGTCGCTCACTCGCTAGTCATTGAAATTGGTAATGTTTTTTTTTTTTTTTTTTTGGTTGAAAAGTTAATGATGTACTTGGGCCATCAAGAAATGTTTAAAAAAAGAAAAAAAATGTGTCATCCTAAAACAACATAAAAGGGGAAGAGGGGACTAACCCCACAAAACGACATAAAAACGGAAACGACAAGACAAATATTATCAAAGTAAACCCATGATACCCATGAAAAATGATGATAAGAATTAAGAACCCCACTTTATTAGAAACGACATCAAAATGAGAAACGATAGTAGTGTATACAAATGACATGAGCTGTGAAAAACGACAACGAGAGAGAAATAATGTCAACAGACGATAATAACATTAAAAAAGACGTCAAAATCAGAAGCAAACAATAAACGACAATAACTTTAAGAACGATAAGAATTTCTAAAAACGAATTTATCTTGGCAAGGAAGAATAAACGACAGATAATAACGCAGATAGAGTCGAAGACAATAGAGTAAAATACAACATAAACTTGGTAACCCCAAAAAACGACAATATCATAACAACAACATTATTTGAGTAGACGACGTTAACTTTTAAGAATGAGAACAATCTAATACATGACATGGACAGACTCGGGAAAGTGATAATAACATAAATACGACATAAAAAATGTAGACAACAATAGTATCAACTATGAACGATCAACCACCGAGGTTGTCAAAGAAAACGACAACAACTAAAAGAACGACATTAAAAAGCAGTTCGACTGCATTCTAAAGATCGACATCAAAAATAAAGAAACGACAACAACATCAAAAAACGACATGAATTGTGATAACCGCCGACCATGAGAAGATAGTGTTGACGGTGAAAACTCGTCAACAGAAATAGGCCGGGTCACCTCTAGGTATCCTGTTGGATTACCGGCTTGATATTGACTGTATACTCAATTTATGCAGTGAAGTGTTTGTTGTATTTTTAGAATGGTGAGCAATATGAGATAATATGCTTGATGTAGAAGAACACACAAAATTTATAGTGGTTCACTCTGTTAATGAAGAGCTACATCCACTGTGATTTTATATTCTTTTTGAGATTGTTACAATTTACATCAACTGTTGTTCTCTCATTTTCTCTCTCTCAGGAAGCAAACCTCTAACCTGTATGGAGCTTTGCCCCTTTTATAGCCGAGCTTCCTTCATTGGGTGGGTCTCCTTTGTAGGCAGAAGCACTCAAATGGTCTGACTTTCTAGGCCCAGACCGTAGCCCACTAATCACTTTGTGAACTGTTCACTCAGCCAATTAGTCTCATATTACAGCTCTGTTCGTACCTGTAACCCTTTTTTGTCCCCCGTAGGGCGGTTTAAGAGTTTACAATTAATGCATGCATTGCAGACATCTCCCATTTCTGTACGCAACTTGCGATGTCAGGCTTTCTCCTTTTGGGGCATTCCTCTTGCCATCTCTGTTTGCTCAACCTAGTTGTCTTTCTTGGCAATTAATTTTCTCCTGAAGGATTTCCGTCGTAAGGTCGACGGTACGACATGTCGTCGTCATGAGGAGTCGGCGTCCTAAGTTGGGCTTCTTTTGCAGCAGAAGAAAAGGGAGTCCCCAGCGTCAAGGGTTGTTGCCTTTTAAGGAAAAGCATGGCTACGTATCACACTGTTGTTCTTCCACGCGTCATCCACATTTTCCCACACACCAGATAGCAACAATAAACTAAGAATACTGGTAACATTTTTTTTTTTTTT